TTATATTTTATGTCCGTCAAAATTAGTAGTTCTGAATACAGCAAGAGAAATTTAGTATTGTGTTTAGACGGTTAAATTATTACTTGGATGAAATGTAAATCAGTAATAATAATAATAAAAGTAAAACTCAGAATAAAGACTCTCGATCCCTTAATCGACCTTCGGCTATAATTGAAAAAACGATGTTTATTTCTCTAGTAATTTTATTCTGGCTTTTTTTTATGATAAGATTTGACAATACTTATACGCTATGATTCAAGTGTTTTCTCTGTTTATCACACTTGAATCGATGCGATCATAATGACTTATGGTCGGTAAAACTTCAAGATCTGTGTTGGTATCAATATTACATTAAAATATTCGATATTAAACATAAAATAAAACAAAATGATACCATTCAATATATTGCTGTTTGTAGAAGTCGAATCCTAACAGTCTAATCCATGATTTATTAGATCTCTATATAGGTCTCATATAGAATCAAGTTAAGTGAAATACACGTTATATTCTATATTTCATGTAAATCAATCAATATTTCTTAATGAACTTATTTTAAAAATATAATTTGCTAATGTTTTCGAGAAGCTGATTTAATATAATAAACAATATTGTGTCCTTGTTGCATATCTTCACTTTCATATGTCGTTAAAATCAATCTAAAACCATTAGTAAACTGCAATTAATTGGATTTAGACGACGATTTTATACTATAATTGATTGGGAATATTTGGATCGCATATTTTCCCAACAAACATATCGTTGGTTTTGTAACCCTGCTTTGCTGTGTAGAAATATCATATATATCTACTATCAAAAAGAAAATAGTTAAAAATCATTATTTAAAGATTATCATAAACAATAGAAAAAAAAAAGTAAGTATCGAAACTTTAAATTCAAGTCTTTTAATATGAAAATAAAGAAAAACAAAGTTGATATACAAAGAAGCGACAAATTTTTAGACTTCACTTTTCTTCCTGTGTGCCATGTACAAAAAAAATAATAAACTTTCCATTTGAAACTATTTTTTTACTTTATTGATTCATATTCATGAGATGAATTCATTATTCTTGATCATAGGTCATTTTAGAGTGTCAACAGATCAACTTCTATGAAGTTCTTCCGATGTGTTCTTGATATTGATCGTATTAATTCAGAATCTAATAGAAAGAAAAATATATTCATAGCAGAGCTGCCGATCTGATCTGCTTTCAGACACGGCCAAAATTATTATCATGGCTCATACGTTCTGGAAATGAAATGTTGATGCACAGTCTTATTATTCGAGAATACTTTGACAAATTCATTCGGTTTCAGCAACAAATGCTTGAACTGAACATTAATTTCGTGTTGTTGGACTTATATTGATCGACAGAAGATCTTGTTTAGATTCAAAACAATTGGATAGTAAATATTGCGTTCGTGCTGTTGCAAAAATTGATTGGCAAATGTAAACATCCTTGTGTGTTATGACAAAAATCACTTATTCCCTACATTTTCTTTTACTTCTTCGTTGTATACCTAATCATATGTTGTATTTTCTATCATAATTATATTGTTTCGATTATGGAAGAGAAGTTACTGGGTCTTATTTTTTTGGATCTTTTAAAAGTTTTAGAACATTTTTTTTTCTATATCATATGAGTGTGTTCAACTATAGGATGCACCGATTTGCATTCTTTCTATTATCATTTCAAAGACCTAACCATATTCGGGCCATATTATCACTCGCATCTCTAAACTATTAATTTTAACGTTTTAGCTGCGTATGGCTGTCTTATATAAAATAATTTAGTCCCTTAAAAATGATAGGACACGATTTCAGGGCCTAAATTATTTCATATAAAACAGCCACATGCAGCTAGTATTTTAAAATTAGTAGTGTAGAGATGAGAGTGATAATTTGGCCCGAATATGATTAGGTCTTTGAAATGATAATAGAAAAAATACAAATCAGGACATCCTATGGTTGAGCACGTCCATATATCATGCAAGTACGATGTCTTCTATAAGATTATTCGAAATACATCTCGACATGAATTAATTTATCGTTGAATTAATTTTTTTCTAGGGGATGCATTCTAAACATATCAGAATCGATTTATATTGATAATGATTATTCTAAAGTTTTTACAATTAACTAACAATATTGGATGGCTCTGTGATTAGAGCTATGGCTTCTCAATTCATATATCTAACGCTCAAATCATTCATTCTTTTTTTGTTATTCAAGACTTTCTGTTTATTAATATATCATAAAAAGATCTCCACCACAATCCTTATTAATAATCTTGCTACACAATACCGAATATATTATTCTTTCAGCAGGCTTATTATATGAATCTTCCACACCCACACACACTCTCAAGTACTAATAAGTTCTGAAATAGGAACAGATACCAGAATTTATTTATGAAATCCTAATGAATTTCGAAAAATAAGTCATAGCAGTTACTACAATGAAAGGTATTCGAAAAATCAGAAGTATCAATCGACATGTTATGATCTGCAGGCATTCCAAGATAGACCAGATCAGGCCAAGACTGAAAAAAAGTGACCTATTAGTATCTCTGACTCACACATGTAAAGTTGAAAGTTCACTTGAGTTGAAATGTCAAAATTTATACTACTGTTATTTCTTCGAAAATAATATTATCTTTTGTAATTAATGATGATTTATCGTCATTGAATTATTGCATTCATTTGTTAATATTAATACAAATTCATTTAAAATCTATCTATGATTCAATTTCAAGTCATTATCTTAATAATTATGTTATATAGAAATTTTTTCAATATACAATATAATACAATAAATATGACATCTGTACATTTTTATATTCATCATTCATCGAAAAATTTTTGATAAAGACAAAGAAAGAAAAAAAAACAATTAAGACATGATTGAAAATAAAACGATAAATTGTTCACCATAAAGAAAAGAATATAACAAAAGAATTGTCTTTAAGTAAATATTTGATAAAATGCTTTAACGAACTATTGAGGACTTGCATCAGCATCATTTTTTAATCGACGATTATCCATTTCAAATGCACTTTTCTTTAATAAAAAGAAAATATTTAAAATTTATATTTTTCTAAGCAAAAGACATACATTTCCTAAGTTAGATGGAGGAATTAATAATTCTAATCGTGTTCGATCATCGCTATTACTTGTACCATTTTGATATCGATCTTTGTGTCCTAACCATAGTTTCCATCGAGCCCAAAGTTGTGTAGCTTGAAGACGACGAGATAATGTTTCGCGAACCTTTAAAATAAAACATTACTTATTCGAAGAGGTGTCCCGAGATCATCAAGATTGAGGGAAGACGGGAGGAAATCATCTTTCCGAGCTTCCTCCCTCGGGACATCTTTGCTTATTCGAATTAGAGTAAAAAGAACAACAATCTACCTCTGTATTTAAGAAACAATAAAGTAATGCACAAAAAAATCCTTGAAATGTCACTAAAAAATAAGTCACGGAGCAATACAAAGCAAATAAAGCAATTGATCGAGGATCTTAAATAAGAAAAAATAATAATAAAAATTTTTTTTTGTTCATTAATTTTTACCTGGCGAAACAAATGTTTCAACCATATGTGTAATACCAAATAAAGGTAATAGAAAAATAGCTGCTTTTACTGCTTTTCTATAAACATAGTACAATCAAATATGTATTAAGAAACCAATCTATTATAATTACCTGACGAATTTTGTATTCATAGAACTACGACGATGTTTCCTAAATGTTTTTATATGAAGAATTAATTAAATAAAATAATTAAATTATCTTTAATAGTATTAAGTTAAGAAAAAAAAATCAAGCAAATTTAATTGATAGTTTTTGAGCTTAGTTTACCGACGTATACAAGATTTTATATAGGATAATGTATTATGAGAGTCTGAGTGATAAGTTCTGTATAAATCAACAATTTCGAGTTAAATACTTTTCTTTTTTTTTATTTAATAAAGTTATCTGTTTTAACTTACTCTTCACGTATTTGTTTTTCTGAGCCTTCTTTGATTTTAACTAATAGAACCCGTATTATATTTAATAAAAATATAAAATTTATCTAGAAAAACAATTTTCTATATATTTAATAAAAACAAAATAAACTCACAATTATTACTGCATATCGAGGTCCATCGATAATCCAATAATATTTAAGATAATTATAATTTGACCAACATCTAATTAATAAATTTATCAATTGAAGAGATTATTTTTTTTTTGTTGTTGTTGTTTTTCTTTTCTAATAAAAACTTACTTTCGATCACGTTCTTTAACAAACATAACAATACTCCAACTGAGTGTCATAAAAAGTGGAACAACTATTATGAAAAAAAAGCAAACAAACAGACAAATAAAAAAAAAATTTAATTAAAGAAAAAGTCTATTTTTACTCCATCCAAGTATATAAAAATAATATGTTTTAAAATAATTTTTAAATACACTAACAGTTAATATATTATTAAGATGTATGCCTTCACATAACATCCACATAAACATAGAGGATATACTAAATTGTAAAAATATAACAATTAATGGACACATATTTTTTAATATAGATGAAATTCCATGACGACGAATACTTCCATCATTACCACATTCTATTGATTCTATTTGTGAAGAATTATTTGATTGTTTCATTTGAATTCTAAAATAATTTAATAAAATATTAAATTAAAAATAAATATTCAAAATAAAATACCCATAATTAACTATTCGAGCAATTATTTGAATAAATATTGCTAATAAAAGATTAATATGAATTTTTGTACGACTACAGTAAAGAGATCTATTTGAAAAGGAAAACAAAAAAATTAATAAAAATACATTTTATTATAATGAATTCATTTACTTCAAAGTAAAAAATATTATAAGGGAAACAAGTACACTGATAAATGATACTGATAATCCAACTAACTCAATAATACGTACAGCTTGAAGAATATCTGTATAACGCTAAGTAAGAAAAAAAAGCCACAGACATATTCATAATTGAAAATAAAAAGTTATATAAAAACAAACTTTTCTTTGTGAAAGTGTCTTTGATATATAAAATGTATTCATTAAATCCCATACATCCGAATAAACACAGGGTTTAAATGAAACATTAGACCAAATTCCCGTTGTAAGACAATGTCGAGTGAGAAATTCTATATAAATTTTAAAAAAAAAGATTTTTTTTTTTATTGAAAAAACTTAGAAAATACGAACTGCTAGAATCAACTCCTGGCATTGCCAATAGTGAACATGAAATAGTAATTGAATGATTGGCAAGAGTTTGTGGCCAACAAAGATTTTCAAATACAGTAGGACAATATAATTCATCGTTTAATGAATTATTCGATAATAAACTTTGACTTGTTGATGATAACATCGAGATATTATATGAGCATATCACAACTAAACGGACGGTCGATTATCTGAAAAGGAAAAGAAAAAAGAAGAATGGAAAAATAAAATTAATATTTTAATTTGTTATGAAAAGAAATTAAATTATATTTATTTAAATAATAAAATTTATTCTTTTATTTTCTCATGAAATTCTAAAGAAATATTTTTCGATTCAATGTTATCAATATCTTATTGAGTAACAAACTTCTTTTTTCCTCTCTTCTATCCTAACATAATTCTATTGTATTATTAATGTCAATTTACTATTTGAATGACAATACTAACATATCTTATATGTCATTAATTTAATGATCAAACAAAAAAAAAAGAATCTACAAATAAATGTCTGTCAAATTCATATTCGAATAGACACAATGTCTCTATCGTACATTATTCGACTTCATATTACTTAATATACACACATAAATAACTTATTTGTTATCTAATAAACTCTACTGAAGCAAGAAACTGCATACTGTGAACTATCAATGTCAGTTTCTAATAAAAAATGATATTTTTACACCTACGACTAAGTAAGAAAAAAAAATCTATCTCATCATATTTCTACAATTAACTTTCACAAAATAACAAATATTAACAAAGACCACATCTTATCTTTCTCTCTCTATATATATATATCGACTTGAGCATGTTTATCTACTTTTGGATAGACAAAAGGAAACAGAAACAGAGAAAAACTCATAAATGAGAAAAAAATGAAATACTATTTTTCCGTTTTGAAAAAATACACATCAGAACAAAGAAAAAATTACATCTGACATTTCTATTATTGAAATTTCTCAACAAAATTTTGATAAAATCTATTTTATTTGTACTCTCATCTTCATCCAGATACCAAAAAAAAAAAAAGAAGTTTTTCGCAAACTCATAAAGTCTGATAAGAAGAAATGGGATATCGCATAAATGGTATGATCAAATATATCAAATAAATCATTGATTTGTCTTTTGTACTACAATAAGAAAAGCATCTTAGCCATATGGTTGATTATATAATCCAACATAATGAATATAGTGCTTACTAGGTCATTATTAATAAGATCAAATACATTCTCATACTTTATTAATTAAAACTTCTAATCAAAACACTCAAATCAGAAAATATTGATAAATACATACAAAAATAAAATATTACAAAGTAAAATGATCTTATTTCTTATAAACTCAAATAAAATACTGAACTTGCGATTCTTACATTCAAACATATGGTTTTTTTCATTCATCTACTTATGATGTAAATTGCTCTGTTTATACACATGCACTTACAAGTATGTCGTAATATTATAACAACAATTTATCCATAATTATAATATTAAACAGATGAATTTCTCTTTAAGGTAAAGGGTGAGTGTTTTCTTAAAAATATTTTCATATGAAACATCAACACAACACACCGCGTATTATGAATATTGCACTAATGTGTTCATTTTTTTTGACATCATTATATTTACATACGTATCTTCTTCCTAATACTTTCTTTTATTAATATGTTGAATTTAACACTTTTTTTCTCTTATGTCATCATTGATGTATATATATATATATATATATATAATTCTGTTGTAGGTTGTCAAATATAATTAGTTTTTTTTTCCTAAGTAACTTATTATATCTTCGCTATCATATAATCAATTCATTAGTTTTCAACAAATTTTCATCTATGCTCGTTTGAGATATTTTTATACTCCATCCATTTCATTTTCTTTCGCTCTGTTTGCTTGTCTGAGTAGTCTCAATAGCTGTCAACATCGAATGTAGAGTATAATTCAATCAATACTATAATGGATATACAAGGAAAAAAAACAATCAGAAGAAAAGTAAATTAAATTAGAATGAATTCAGTTGTTGATGTCAAATAAGCGAAGATCTTCGAATATTTATATGAGTAGTTTTTAATAAAGAAAAAAACTTCTGATAAAAGAAAGAATGACAGTATACATTGAATTATATGTTCTATGTCACTTTCTTTTTTCTTCTACTAAGGAAGAAAAGATTAATAATATCTTAACATTTCCTTACAAACCTCACTCATTATTTTACGTCCTTTTTTTTTCTTGTTGCTTACTGTATTAAATTAAAAGCAGGAAAAATTATCAGTTATATTAAGTGCTTTTTCAAGGATATATTTATCAATTGGTTCTTATATTATATAATCAATATATTGATTTAGATGGTAAAAAAATAAAAGGAAATCTGTCAAAATTAATCTCGTCTCATATGATGGTTAAAATGTCTTATGAATTTTCATATTTTCTTTTCATCTAATTGGATGAATATCAAAGAACAACAAGCGCTTCATGTTGTTAGTTTTATATAAAAAAATTATTATCCAAAGAGACTGTCAAGGCTATTTCATTTGCAAATATTTATTTGCTTTTTTAAAACCCTCTAGAGTTAAATAGTGTTAAAGAGACATCTACCTAAGAGCGATAACACAGGATATTTCATTTGCTTTTTTATTTTTACTTGCTTTTAATGAAGTTACCTTCAATAGTATTCTAATGAAGAAATACACCGTTTTGTGTTTTTTTTTTTTGTGATCAAAATGACTCGAATTACCATTAGAGTAAAGAAACGTATTAAATAAGAAAATAAGAGATGCTATGTTCTTTGTACTCTTTTTTCAACATGATTTTTTTTAAGTAAATGATGAGATGTTACGTAAATTCAGAATATGCGCGTTTATTCAAGGTCGTGAAGCGTAGGCTAAAATAGTTTTAGAAAAAAAAAAAATGTCTCATATTCTGTGTTTTAGCTTAAATAACTAAGCAAAAGAAGAACATGATATTTTTTTTTTGTTCCAGATATCATATGAAATCTTTATAACATATTATTATTAAAAGAAGGAAAACTGCGTCTTATAAAAATATCTGCGCCTACTAAAAAGAAAAAGAATTATAAAAATGAACTAAAATATTTATTTTGCTTTTACTAGAACTAATATTCATCATCAACAATGAGTAGATCAAGCGTACCATATGCTATACTTTTGTCACTTAGTGTGATTATTTGTCATGAATAAATAACTTATTTTTAACACATGAAGACACAGCAATTGATAGAAAATCTGTTGTCATAGATACAAGTGTTATTTTCTTTCTTTATGAACATAAAAAGAAAACATACAAATAAAATTGCTTGTTTCATTTTCATTTTTATTAACTTACTCATTGACTTTTGCCTTTCTTTCGTTTTAAAGAAATAAAATAATATCATCTATATACATTTATTTTTCTCCTTTCACTTTATATAGATACTTCATATATGTATATATGTTTACGGACGATGAGGATCATGATAATAAACGTCAAAAAAAAAAAAAAATTAATTACTTTACTCTCCTCGTCAGAAACTAGTACATATGCAATCAGTTTGTTCTCATCATTCTCAGTTGTTATTCAGTCAAGATAATACAAGATGATGAAGAGGAAATGTCATCTCAAAACAAGACATTTTTACCATACAAATGATCACACTTGTATGATGGGCTATTCAAAAAAAAAAAGCACATGTTGACACATATGCATTGTATTTATAATCAAAATGGTCTTATTAAATATTAAAATAAAATGATTTAATAGATTCTAATGATAGATAAAATTATACAACATCAATTAATCTAATAGTAATGATGATGACTGAAAGCCTTCTCACTTAAAAACCTATTATATAATTACATATACTATATGAAAAAAAAAGATATATTTTAAAAAGCATACCTGTTATTAATAATATCATTATATCATTAAATTATAATAAAAATAGTTATATAAGATAGTATCGTATTTATAAAGAAAAGCGATGATGCGTCAAAAAAGTATAGGCATGTATAGATATATATATATATACAAATGGCACTAATTAAAGAATAAGACTCAATAGAGGACACGGTACGCACATATAAATGTAAATACGTATGCTACCGAAAAACTTGTTGTCACCTTTATTCAATGTCATTTATTTTGACAGAAACACCAAATCAGTCGAAGAGAGAACAAGAGAAAGATAAACATAAATGCACAGCAGATATGAAGAAGAAACAAAAATGACAAATCACTATCGCATATACATGTACAAATTGAAAAATGCTAAAAAAAAAGAAAAGAAAATTAGGAGAACTTGTGTATACAGTTAATCATCATTCACCAAATACGTGTGATTCATTCATATTAATTTATGTTTGACATAGTAAAATTTCTCTACACATGATAAATAAACGTTGAATTAACAGTTTCTTTTTTGATTTTGTCACAGACATGTGGTCTCTACATGTCTTCATATATATATATATTTATGTTTCTCCTTACTCTTTCTTTTATTTTTTTTCCTCTGGTTGATGTTTTGTTTTGGATTCATTGAATTTCAACATTATGTCGGAACGAGTGTAGAACTACGAATAAAGACAGTAGCTATTCTACATTTATGAGAAAGGTAATACTCCTCTTGAAATATATGTTATTCTATAGTATAACTATAATAATTGAAAAGCGGATTATTTAGGAATAGGAAACTCGAGTAGTGTGCACACGCAGGAAATGAGATCGTAGTTGATGCGTATAAAAAAAAAACAGAGAGACAGAGAGAGAGAGATTATGTTTGTTTGAGATAAGAAGAGAGAAACAGAAAGCTGAGGATAGAATGAGACCCAATAGATTTAGTTGTCATCATCATTTATGTTTGATATTGATGCTATTACTCTTGTTCGTATTTACTATGCAAATATGAATTTTAAACATTGATAGTAATGACATGTACGAAAAGCAGACACGAGACAATGACGCTTCAAATCATCCGAGAATACTAATGTTTTACTTTTGTCCTTTTACTTTTCGTATACTGATAATAGTAATTCATCCGTTGATTGTTATAATAAAACGAGCATAGGAAAAAGAAAAAGAAACATAGAGACAAATTCTTTATCAATATTATCTATGGACATATATAAAAATCTTGATGTATATTATT